CGGGCAGCCGACGGCCCAGGGCGAGAGTCCACAGGACCGAGAGATGGTCTGGCCGCGGACTGCTCGCGCCCCGGAGGTCTGGCCGCCCCCGGAGCGCCGTTCCCCCGCCCCGTCGCCTTCGCGCATGGTGCGCCCCTGGCACGCCACCGTGGTGATGACCCTGCCGTGCGAGAAATGCGGGGGGGGGGGGCCGAAATGGGTGGGGGTGACGCATGCGGGCGGCGGCACTGAGGCCTTCGGTGGAGCTCCCTATGGAGCCACGAAACGTGTGAGGGGTGTGCCGAAATGGGTGTGGGTGACGCATGCGGCCGCGGGCACTGGGGCCTTCGGTGGAGCTCCCTATGGAGCCTCGAAACGTGTGAGGGGTGTGCCGAAATGGGTGTGGGTGACGCATGCGGCCGCGGGCACTGGGGCCTTCGGTGGAGCTCCCTATGGAGCCACGAAACGTGTGAGGGGTGTGCCGAAATGGGTGTGGGTGACGCATGCGGCCGCGGGCACTGGGGCCTTCGGTGGAGCTCCCTATGGAGCCACGAAACGTGTGAGGGGTGTGCCGAAATGGGTGTGGGTGACGCATGCGGCCGCGGGCACTGGGGCCTTCGGTGGAGCTCCCTATGGAGCCACGAAACGTGTGAGGGGTGTGCCGAAATGGGTGTGGGTGACGCATGCGGCCGCGGGCACTGGGGCCTTCGGTGGAGCTCCCTATGGAGCCACGAAACGTGTGAGGGGTGTGCCGAAATGGGTGTGGGTGACGCATGCGGCCGCGGGCACTGGGGCCTTCGGTGGAGCTCCCTATGGAGCCACGAAACGTGTGAGGGGTGTGCCGAAATGGGTGTGGGTGACGCATGCGGCCGCGGCACTGGGGCCTTCGGTGGAGCTCCCTATGGAGCCACGAAACGTGTGAGGGGTGTGCCGAAATGGGTGTGGGGGACGCATGCGGCCGCGGGCACTGGGGCCTTCGGTGGAGCTCCCTATGGAGCCACGAAACGTGTGAGGGGTGTGCCGAAATGGGTGTGGGTGACGCATGCGGCCGCGGGCACTGGGGCCTTCGGTGGAGCTCCCTATGGAGCCACGAAACGTGTGAGGGGTGTGCCGAAATGGGTGTGGGTGACGCATGCGGCCGCGGCCACTGGGGCCTTCGGTGGAGCTCCCTATGGAGCCACGAAACGTGTGAGGGGTGTGCCGAAATGGGTGTGGGTGACGCATGCGGCCGCGGGCACTGGGGCCTTCGGTGGAGCTCCCTATGGAGCCACGAAACGTGTGAGGGGTGTGCCGAAATGGGTGTGGGTGACGCATGCGGCCGCGGGCACTGGGGCCTTCGGTGGAGCTCCCTATGGAGCCACGAAACGTGTGAGGGGTGTGCCGAAATGGGTGTGGGTGACGCATGCGGGCGCGGGCACTGGGGCCTTCGGTGGAGCTCCCTATGGAGCCACGAAACGTGTGAGGGGTGTGCCGAAATGGGTGTGGGTGACGCATGCGGGCGCGGGCACTGGGGCCTTCGGTGGAGCTCCCTATGGAGCCACGAAACGTGTGAGGGGTGTGCCGAAATGGGTGTGGTGACGCATGCGGCCGCGGGCACTGGGGCCTTCGGTGGAGCTCCCTATGGAGCCACGAAACGTGTGAGGGGTGTGCCGAAATGGGTGTGCGGCCGCGGGCACTGGGGCCTTCGGTGGAGCTCCCTATGGAGCCACGAAACGTGTGAGGGGTGTGCCGAAATGGGTGTGGGTGACGCATGCGGCGCGGGCACTGGGGCCTTCGGTGGAGCTCCCTATGGAGCCACGAAACGTGTGAGGGGTGTGCCGAAATGGGTGTGGGTGACGCATGCGGCGCGGGCACTGGGGCCTTCGGTGGAGCTCCCTATGGAGCCACGAAACGTGTGAGGGGTGTGCCGAAATGGGTGTGGGTGACGCATGCGGCGCGGGCACTGGGGCCTTCGGTGGAGCTCCCTATGGAGCCACGAAACGTGTGAGGGGTGTGCCGAATGGGTGGATGATGATGATGATGATGATGATGATGATGATGATGATGATGATGATGATGATGATGATGATGATGATGATGATGATGATGATGATGATGATGATGATGATGATGATGATGATGATGGGAGGGGGGAGGAGGCAGCGGGAGGAAGGAAGGAAGGAAGGAAGGAAGGAAGGAAGGAGAACGCGGGGCACCGTCTCTTCAAAACGAGGACCCAACACCACAGGATGGTTGGGAACTTACGTTGGACACAACCACTATCCGTACGTCTAGAAACGGATCAGCCGCAAGACGACGGTGGTCAAATACGCCACATGCAATATGGAGACAAATATTATCAAAGGACGCCCTGCGGGAAAGCCATACAACGTGTCAATATACTGAATTGCTCAGTGGAATGTACTGAAGCATTCGTTGAACCAGCATCCAGAAGTGTAAACCAATAGCTCAGAGAAAGATACGCTCAGCTGCCAGTCCTGAACCTTCGCTCGGGAAGCAACGCCAAGCGCATCGCGACCGGCCGCCAGGCATCCCGAGGATACAAATCCCACCAGCCGTCTGTGAGGAGGTTGTTTCGAGAGACCTCTCCTCCAACCCCCTCCTTCCCTCTCGGGGAGGGGTGTACCTCTCGTTTGCCCGCACGCCAGAAGATCCCACCCACCCAACCTGGCTAGCGAAGCCTCCTGGGGGCCTCCCGAAAGCGGCTCGAGGGCCAGGCCCAGTTGGAAGTTTCCCGAGGGCTTCTGGGGACCTCTGGACATCCTCTGTCGGGCCTCTCGCGGCCATCCTGGTGCTGGCCAGTTGTGAAGTGTACCACGATTGAATGTTACAGTTGGAAGGCTTGGGACCGTCCTGGGTTTCTCCGGGGCTGTATTGGGCATCGCTTGGGTCGCTTCTGGGGCCCTGTTGGGCCGTCTTGGGAACACTTTGGGGCTCTCTTGCGCCCCGAAGACCGGGAAGGCGAGCACGGTCACTGAGTGTCGCTAAACCGATCCCCATCCCCAGCGGCGTGGCCTGGGCCCCACCGGCCAATTTACCCCCTAGATGGGGATATAGGTCGTTCCCGTCGGGTTTCGAGGGGTGTATCCCCAACTGGGGTGTTAATTTGGCGGGGGTCTCGAAAGGGATGGGATGGGGATGGGAATCGGTTAAACGATACTGAGTAACGTCACCTGCCCAAGGCGGGATCCATCCCACCACCGGCGCAGTCGCCCGCGGAGACTCGAGGGGGCCCGTCCGCCTCGTCAAGGGGAACACCGTCCTGAGAGGGTTGAAGGGGCCCTGGGAGACACACAAATAAATAAACACAAATAACAAGATTCCCCATATTGTCCCATATTACCCAACCATCCTGTGGTGTTGGGTCCTTGGTTTGAGGAGACGGTGCCCCGCGCTCCTCTCCTCTCCCCCTCGTCTCCTTCTCCCCCTCCTCCTTCCTCCTCCCTCCCCCCCTCCTTGCCTCTGCCTTCCGCATGTCCATGCCTACACACCCCTCACGCGTTTCGTGACCCCATAGGGAGCTCAACCGAATACCCCAATGGCGGTGTCCACATGCGTCCGCGCCACCCATTTCGGCGAACCCCTCACGCGTTTCGTCGCCCCATAGAGAGCTCCACCGAAGGCCCCAGTGGCGGTGTCCACAGGCGTCCGCGCCACCCATTTCGGCGCACCCCTCACACGTTCCGTGGCCCATAGGGAGCTCCACCGAAGGCCCCAGCGGCGGTGTCCACACGCGTCCGCGCCATTCCTTCCGGCGCACCCCTCACACGTTTCGTGGCCCCATCGAGAGCTCCACCGAAGGCCCCAGTGGCGGTGTCCACATGCGTCCGCGCCATCCATTTCGGCGCACCCCTCACACGTTCCGTGGCCCATAGGGAGCTCCACCGAAGGCCCCAATGGCGGTGTCCACATGCGTCCGCGCCAGCAATCTCGGCGCACCACTCACACGTTTCGTGGCCCATCTGGAGCTCCACCGAAGGCCCCAGTGGCGGTGTCCACATGCGTCCGCACCACCCAATTCGGCGCACCCCTCACACGTTTCGTGGCTCCACCGAAGGCCCCAGTGGCCGGTGTCCACATGCGTCCGCCCAATCCATTTCGTCACACCCCTAACACGAGTCGAGCACCCATAGAGAGCTCCACCAAAGCCCCAGTGGTGGTGTCCACACTACGTCCGCACCATGCATTTCGGCGCACCCCTCACACGTTCCGTGGCCACAGAGAGAGCTCCACCGAAGGCCCCAGTGGCGGTGTCCACATGCGTCCGCGCCACACATTTCGGCGCACCCCTCACACGATTCCTGGCCCCATACAAAGCTCCACCGAAGGCCCCCACGACGGTGTCCACATGCGTCTGCGCCACCCATTTCGGCGCACCCCTCACATGTTTCGTGGCCCCACATGGAGCTCCACCGAAGGCCCAAACGGCGGTGTCCACATGTGTCCGCGCCACCAATTTCAGCGCGCCCCTCACACGTTTCGTGACCCCATACAGAGCTCCACCGATGATTGTATTCACAACTGCAGTACTCTCAACTGCATATGGTTGGTTCCTTCGCCAGGCTAATTTCTGGGCTATTGACTTCCCCCCAATCCCAACATTTTCTCATATTTTCTGGGAAATCGACAATTCATGGTGTCTGTGTTTTTTCCCTCCTGAAGGGTGTTGGGGGGGATTTCAAGGATTTCCGCCATCACGCAGTGATATGCAGGCATGCACGCTCAGGATTCGTGGTGCAGACCGCGGGCTAATTAACCTGTCGCGGTACTCGCGTCGGGCCTTGGTGATCAGATGTGGGCGGCCTGGGAGTCCCAGGCCCCTGAGCTGGGCCTGGCCGAAGAAACCACAGGAGCCGCACAACCACACACCAAGGAACCAAGGAATTGGTGAAACCGCAAGGCGTCGGTGGGGTGCGCCCAACCGCCCGCCAGGTGTAAAATTCGCCCCGGGGGAACTTGGGTGTTAGAGGGCTGTGCTTGGCCCAAAACGGCTCCAAGATAGGCTCCAAGCTTGCACCTGGATGGCCCAGGGCGGCCCCAGGCGTGCACCAAGGCGGCCAGAGGTGCGGCCCGGGAGCCTCCTGGGGATGCCCGAAAGGCCGAACTGCTCCAACAACCTCAAGATGCTCCAATAACGTATGAAGACGCCCTGGGGCACACAAATAAATAGGCACAAATCCCAGGATTCCCAACATTTTTCCACATGTTCTGGGTTTTCGTCTCCCCCCCAATTCACACATTTTCCATATTTTCCCCGGGGTCGACGATTACTTGTGCTTGTGTTTTTCCCCTCCTGAATGTGTGCCTTTTCGTTGCGCAAGGGGCTCCCGCGCAGGCGCGGGTGGCGGCCGCAGCGCCGCCGGCAGCGGCAGCGGAGCCAGCGGCACCAGCTCCGAGGGCTCAGGGGGCGGCGGGCGCTCCACCCCAGGGCGCGGCGCCCCCGGCCGGCGCGGAGGAGCTCTACGAGATCCTCCGGCTTGCGGGCTGGGGGAGCTCCACAGTGGAGCACCTGCTGGGCGGCGGGACCTACCTGGTCCGGCGCGGGCAAGGCAAGGCTGGCCACGCCTGAGGGCGGCGGGCTGGCGCCACTACGCCCCCCCAGACCAGGCCAGCGAGCCGCCGAGCTCGGACGGCGCTGACAGCGATGGCGCCGACCTCCAGGCGGCGTACGACGCCCTGGACGTCTGGGCCGTCACCAAGCTCGGCTCGGCGCGAGCCTGGGCGGACGCCGACGAAGCGGGCCACGGCGACGCCGCGGAGCCTGCTGGACCCAGCGCGGGGCAGCCGGCCGCTGCCTCACCAGCAACAGGCTCGGCTGCAGCCGCCCCGGGCGCGGCTAGCTCACGCGGCGCCGCGGCGAGCGCTTCCCCCGGCGGGGAGGCGGCCCGCGGCGAGCTGAGCGGCGAGGCGGCGCGCGCGCCAGCTGCGCGACAAGCAGCGGCTGCCCCCCGCGCCGCGAGCGGACGAGCGGCGAGCGCCCCCCCTGCGGGAGCGGCCCGCCCCGCTGCGGCGGCGGCTGCGGCGAGCTTCGCGGCGAGCGCCCCAGGGGCGGCCCGCGGAGCCGCCGACTCGGGAGCGGACGGCAGCTGGGACGGCCCCGCGGCCGGCGCCGCGGCGAGCGCTTCCGCGACGGAAGCGGCCCGCGGCGCCGCGAGCGCGGACACCGCTCCCGAGGGCGCGGCGAGCGCCCCCAGGGCGAGGGCGGCCCGCAGCCGCGGCGCCGCGGACGCGGCTGCCGCCCCCGAGGGCGCGGGCGCGGCGAGCGCCCCCGGCGCTGCCAGGGCGGCCCTCGGCCCCGCTGGGCGAGGGCGGCTCGGAGGGTTTCCTGCCCGCCCGGAGAGCCGCGCCGAGGCGGCCTGGACGCCAGCCGCCGCAGCCACGGGCCGCGGCCGGCAGCGCTTGGCCCGGGAGGCCACCCGCCGGGTTGCGGCTGGCGCAGGCGGCGCCGGGCGCCTGGGCGAGGAGGCGGCGGCCGGCGCCGGCGGCGCAGCGGCGGCGCGCGCCGCCACGCCGCCCGCGAACGCCTCCCCGCCGCGGGGGAGGGCGGCCGGCGCTGGCGCTGGCACGGACTCCGCGGAGAGCGGCGACGAGGCCGCCCTCGAGCTCGCCTACGCGGAACTGCGGGACGCGGCGCGCGCCCGCGTGCGCGAGGGAGGCTGGGCGATGGCGCGGGAAGTTGCGTCATTGCTGCAGGTCTCCCTGCGGGGCCTCAGCTTCCGCGAGGCCACGGCTCGGCTCGCGGAGGCGGCTGGGGCGCTCGCCAGGCACGAGCTGGCGGCCGCCGTTGCGCGCGGGCGCATGCTGCAGGCTGCCGCCGCTGGGGCCGCGGCGGCCCCGCTGGCCGCTGGGCCAGCCGCGGCGGCCTAGGGCTGTCTGGCGCGGCGCGCCGCCAGCGGCCTGGCGCGGCCGGGCAGCCGCTGGGCTGCTGAGCGGAGCCGGGCGCGGCTCCTGCGGCCCTCCCCGCCCCTCCCTCCCTCCCCCTTTTGCTTTCCCCCTTTCCCCCTAAGTCGCCACGGGGCGCACCCCTCTTCGGCTGGTAAAAAAAAGTGTGCCTTTTCGTTGTGTGGCTTCCGATGGCCCTCTAGGGCCTCAGGATGGCTACAAAATCCGCCCAACAGGGCAGGGCTCGGAACGCAGCCAGGAAGGTTACGAGATTGCACCAGAAGAGCTCCTCCTCCTATTCCTCCTCCTCCTCCTCCTCCTCCTCCTCCTCCTCCTCCTCCTCCTCCTCCTCCCCCTCCCCCTCCTTCCTCCTCCTCCTCCTCCTGCTCCTCCTCCTCCTCCTCCTCCTCCCCCTCCTCCCAGGAAGGGCCACAAACTTACGCGAAACAAAAAAAACGAGAGCGCCCCCCCGGGCGCCCCGCTCCGAGAGGGCGCCCCTGTCGGGTTCCCGCGCCGGGGCTCCAGCCTTGGCCCCCTGCTTCCCGGACCCCCGACGCCGTGATGTTTCAATAGCGTTGCCCCCCAGGGGGCCTCGACCCTGACCTTCCAGGAGGGCAAAAAAATAGCACGCGACTTAAAAACCTATCCCAGAGCTATTCTACGTCTTGGTTTTAGGCTGTTTCGTTCAGTTTTTTACGTTTTTAGGTCTCCAGTGCTAAAAAATAGCTCTCTGGAAGGTCAGGGGACCCGTTCCCCGGGACCACATTTCCACCCCCGGACCGTTTTAGGACGTTCCCGGGGGCCGACAAGAGCGAAGCACCTTCCGTTGTGATTTTGTTCAGGACTTGATGGGGTCTGGGATCTGTGCTCGATGTCCTCCAAAATGGTCCAACAGAGTACACGGCATGCCCCCAGGCCCCCTGGGAGGGCCCCGAGAGAGCCCCTGCGCGGCCCCCGAGACGCCCCAGCACCACATCCCCAGCTCCCCGCTGGCCTCCGCGACGGCACCAGGGCGGCTTCAGGGAGCCCCAGTGCCCACGAACTCAGGGCAACTGCGCATGTACTATGACTGCGCGGTCGTCTCCCTCAATGCACCCGTTCCGCTCCCAAGCGCTATCCTCCAAGGAAATGGCGATCCTGTGAAAACAGACTCCGCCGCCCACAGACCCGTGCCAAACATGCCGAAGTGTGGCCAGGGCAGCTGTTGCTTCAACCTGGCGGCTGCCATAACATTCTTTCCTCTACAGGGGGTCGGCAGTTCGAATGGCTTACGCATGCCTAATGAGTCCGCACACCCACTGGGCTGAGGGTCGGGTGTGACTCAACCCCGAGGGCTCCTTCCAGGGCTTGAGCCCTCCTTCTCCCCCCATCCGCCATTCCGCTGCCCAGCTTTGCGCCATCCCCTTTCTGGAGCCCAGGGCAGCCCAACGACGGCGTGCAAGACGAGGTCGCACCCCACATCGTTCCCCCAAACCCTTTCGAAATCGGTGCTTGCTCCATGCTGGCTCCTCCTGGGTCTCCTCGGCCTCCAAGTACGGAATTGGACGCCCGAAATGGGTACGGAAAACATGGGCACAATGCCCAACAACAAATGTTGTCCCGAACCAATAGCGGCCGCTGTTGGGCAGGCGGCCTTCTGTCTCAAATGGACACAGGCCGCGGCGGCGCGGACAGCGAATCCTGTTCAAAGAGAGCAGAAACTGTTGCTGGGCATTGTACCAATTCTTTCCGTACCCATTTCGTTCGTGCCGAACGGACATCTCGACCACGCGGGGCACCTTATCCGGCCCGACTACGCCGAGAACCCGGGATCCTCACGCGCAGTTATGGCACAACCCTTCACAGCTTCAAGCTGCTCGCCCCGCCGCGCGTCGCCGAGGGACCTGATTTTTATCGGCACCTCGGGCTCGACCGAGGAATCTCAAAATATGGAAGTTTCTCCGCCATTCTGGATGGAATCTGAGACCATTCAGGATGGAAGCTTCTCCGCCACTTTGGATGGAAACTTCCCCGCCATTCTGGACGGGATCTGGGGCCATCTGGTCGGTGGTTCTGGGTCCCACTGGGGCCCCTTGGGGGGCAAAGCCGGCCGCAGCGCGGGCCTGAATGTACGTAATGGAACTCGGGCTGGCCTCGCGCCGCGCGCTGGGGGTGTTGCCAGGCCGCCGCGGGGGAACACCGGGCCGCTTCCCAGCCATCTCTCGCCTCGTCTCGCCTCCGACTGCGGGCAGGCAGCGAGGTTCCAGAGAGCCCCCCTCTGCAACTGGTCCGGTGTCCCTAAGGGCTTGTCGACTTTTCGCCGATCGACTTGTGGGGAGCGAGCCAGAAAAATCCATGTAAATGCAAATAAATCGAGGTTAATCCAAATAAATCCCGGCAAATCGAAACAAATCCGGGTAAATCCAAAGATCTCCGAGGAAAGGTGAAGCAACTCGCGGCCGCTCCAGCGCGAGTCGAAGGACGGCAGAAGTCGTTAAGCCTTTAACGACGGTGGTACTGATAACGGGCCCGACGGTCAGCCGATGACCTGACGGTCGGTCGGTCTCACGGCACACCTGACGGTCCAATCGGAGATGGAATGGGGCGGAGCAAACAGCGTGGGGAGGGGTACAAAGACACGGTTGGTCGGAGTGTATTCATCCCGTCTTGGGGTTCATCTTCGGCCCTTCCAGCGAAAGCCAGGATGGGCGGGCAGTGAACGAGAAACGTGAGGGAAATGGATGGGGGGAACGGCTCAGGAGGAAACATCGACCCGGAATCAGCGGTGTGTCGCCGACCGATCGGCGGTAGGCCCCTGACACCGAGACAGCTCGTTGTCATGCGGGGTGGGTCATCGGGCCCCTATCGGCGATTAGTGGGCGATGAAGTGTCGATGCCTTCCCCCTCTTGAGAATACCCCCCCTGATGTTGCCCCCGAGAGCGTCTTGACCCAAGCCTACCCTAGAAGTGCAGGCGCCACTCTGGGGGACAAGTCCTGCGGAGGTCGCGGCCCATGCGTTGGGCGAACGCGTGAGGGATGGCGACGACGACGACCACCCCCCCCCCCCTCTTCTCGCTCTCTGACCTCCCTCCCCTCCTCTCCCCCTTCTTCCCTCACCCTCCAGCCTCCGCCATCTTCTGGATGAGGTCGTTCCCGCAGGTGTGGATCACCACCAATGTCTCGGGCGTCCCAGCCATACGCAGGGGCAAGGGGGAGGTGGATCGGAAGGGAGAGGGTGTGAGGAAGACCACGATAATGAGGGAGGGTGACAAGGAGGGAGGATCCGGCCGAGGTGGATCACCACAGGGAGGAAAGAGCAAGAGCGATACTATCACCCGCACTCTGGGCGTGAGAACGCTTTCTCTTGGAGCCCCGGTCTCCCTCCTCGGGGAGGGGCGCGCAAATGCCGTGTATTAATACATTCCCTTCCCCACCCTCGACCGGCCGCGACCCAGAACCCATGCGCCCGCCCACCACTCTGGACCAAGAACATGTACAGCGTAGGCGTGGCGTCAGACGCCAGTCCGTGAGCGGGCACCGCGCGGTCATATTACGTAGATATTTCACGTGGACGGCGGGGACGGGATCACATCTGTCCGCTGCGCGACCACCTACGACGACTTCCGGGCACCTTGGGCCCTTCGGGCCCCTTGGGCACCGTTTGCGCGCGTGGCGCACCTGGCACGTGAGGCGCACCTCGCAAACACGGGGCGCCTGGCGTCTGGATTGGTTCCCAATGGCTATCTATCTGATGGCGGCGTCTGCCCATCAATTTCGCCCAACCGATTCCCCATACAGGCCCAAACGTCCACAAAAGCCCCGAATAGCGCTGAAAAGGCGCCCCAAGACAGCCCCACAACACAAATCTTCTGACACCGATGGGGGAACCGCAATTAAAGCTACCCTCTTCTTAAGCCAATGAACGCCAAGATGAACTCTAGAGTGCCGTCAGTGCCTCAAACTGGCCCCCAGACAGCCCCAAAAAGGTCCAATAATGCCTCGCATCCTGCGCGGCGCGACTCACGCCCTACAATAATGTAGAACTCGATGTGCCGAATCTGACTACATGCTAGAAAGGGCGAGGGTGGCCAAAGCTGGAAGTCTTGTAGGCCTGGGTGCTAGTTGTGAGCTTCAGGGGGCTGGGCCTGGGTGCTAGGCTTACCTGAAGCACAGGAATCCAAGCAACACCATCTCCATCCCCTTCCCCCTCAATCCTTTCTCCGTGCAAGTGACTCCTCCCTGTCGCGCCCATGACGCGTTGGAGGGGCGGGCTGGGAGCTTCGACTGAGACTTCAACACAAGTTATAAAATCCTGAAGCTTGATAGTTACAACAGTTTGAAATATGAAGGATATTTTGTTTGCAAACTGTAGCTCTTGGTTTAGCACCACGCATAGTCGGTTTCAAAAGGTTGCAACAATGTAAAGGATGGGGAACGGTTACTTTGCGAAACAAGTAACGTTTGCCCTAACACTGCGCACAATCGACTTGACTGTTTGCGGCGATCTCAAACACGGAGAGCGGCTTGTGTTCACAATGTCTGTGTCGCTTTAGTGCCGCGCGAATTTGTTCAAACAGTTTGTAACATGTTCAAAGATGCAGGGCGGTTCCTGCTCGATATGTGGCACTCGCACTAGGGCCGCGAACATTCGTCTTGAATGTTTGCAGCAATTTCGAGGATTCGTGTCAGGCGGGGTCTTCTGGCACAGTTCGGGGTGATAAGAACGCCACAGTCACGTTGACTCGCGGTCTTGACATGCCAGGAATTGCGTTCTGAATAGCTTTAGGATTGCCAGGACGACTCAGTTACCTCGATTCGCGCCACTGATGTCCCCAAAATTGTGCTTTGGCACGAGTGAGCATTGTCAGACGAATGTCTCCAAATGCGGCACTTCCCGCAATGAGCATCGAGTCTTGTAGGGATCTGTGAGGAGGCAAATCAGCGGGAGGGTGTACTGCAACATCGCTGATGCGCGTCGGGCTTACACTGGTCCTCGCCCTTCTCC